GGAAAGTGTTTCTAGAACGCAATTAAAGCTTATTCAGTAAAGCTTTGAGTTTTAGAGTTTTGCGCAAAGCATCCTTCGGTTTTTCCAAAGCCGTGCTGCGCAAAAGGTCATCTATATTTTGCCCTAAATTACTTAATTACTGAACTTGACTTTAAGATATGTTGCCCAAGAATTGTTTTCTTTAACTCAAACGAGTCAGAAAACAATTTTCATATTAAAGTAAACATTACAAAGTACAACAGCTGTGGCAGAACCATATACCCAGTTGCTACGATTTTTTCCCACCACTTTCTCCCATTTAACTTAGATGTACACGAGTGCTCGACCGCTTTGCAATTTAACAGGCTTGTTCACGACCAATTTGCCACATTTTCCCATTCAACAGATGAAAAAGATTTTTTATTCACCATTTTCCTTATTCATTAAAAGCAACTCCGTGCTCTTTGCATTGTCTGCATAAGATTTTTTTTTTTAATATGGTCTAAAGGAAAAAACCACCTAACGGCTTCCTGTGAAATTTTATAAGTGCACGAGGAAGTTTGGTAAATTGAAAAATTGTTAAATAAAAGAAAATATCTGATAAAAATTGGGAAAAAATTTTTTAAAGTAGTTTAGTTTTTAAACAAATTAAAAATTACCCAGAAAAAACCAACACATTGTAAAAAAAAATTAAATTATAAAAAAATAAACTTCCGTGTTGTGTTAAAAATTTGTATTGGGTTAAATAAAGTTAAGATTTTTTAGATTTTTATTCTTAACTTCAACTTCATCGTTGTACATTTTACAATTACAATATATTTAATTTTTTGCCAAGGAGACCTTTCACAGATTCCCATAGTTTTCTTGGGGTACTTGTTGGTATCTTTTTAAATAGAAAAGGACTACTTTACAAACTACTTTATAATTGTTCAAGTTTAAAATTAACATTTAAAAAGAATACATAACTTGTTTTGGGGTAAAGGATGTGTGTATATAGGAAAAATTTAATACAAGAGAATTGTATTGTATCGTACCTGTTAATAAATATTTAATGAAAAATCAATGAAAGATATGCACTAAGAAAAACAAATATAAATATTTTTATTTTATTTACAATTCATATAAGACATGGTAAAATTAACAATCATATAAAAAAGAAATAAATGAATAAGAGACACCAGACATGATTGATAATAAGTGAGGTAATATTGTGCGAAAGTGAATTTTCATTTGATATAAAAAGCCATATAAACAAATTTGTGTCATTTTTTGATCGACTTCAGTGAACTATGCACCATCATTATCATTATCTGTGGTTTTTAGTCATTATTTCATAGCGAATTATCTTATTTGCGTTTTTCACGCCAAGCCACCATTTCCGTATCTTCAGCTCCATTTTTCCACGTCTAATTCATTTAAAAACAGAAAAAAATGTGCAGAATAGTTTTCTGCATTTAACCATTATTTTTCATTTCTCTATACACAATCTGCATGCAACGACTTGTATGTTCTCTGTTCTTAACGGAGATTTCTAAAAAGCAATGGCTATTATAATAATATTAAATAATAATATTAAACAGATGAGAAAGATTTTTTATTCACCATTTTTTTTATTTACTAAAAGCAACTCTGTGCTCCCTCCCATCTCCGCACAAGATTTTTTTGAATATTTCCTGTTAATCCTTCGATATATTCGTACAAGTGGTTTTATATAATATATAATCTTATAAGCATTTATCTCCCCTTCAACGTCTCCTGACTAGTTTTAGTACATTTTTAGAGACCTGGCGTTCGATTTTTGCATTTTTTTGAATATTTCCTGTTAATTCTTCGATATATTCGTACAATATAATACTAAAGAAGTATTGATCTCTAAAATAATGTGAACACGTGTTCAGTCGTGGCACTCCAATTGTTATACGGAAGGGGAAACCTCGATCACTTATTAAGAACAAGTTAACAATAAAATAAGAATAAAAGTAACGAATTTTGTAAACATGTAAGAATTCATAGTAATATTATTGTCACATCATTTATCAAATATGAGTTGTGTAGGCCAATGCATAAAATAAATGTTGTTCAAAAAGAAGCCATGGCGGAGTTTATGGACCAATAAGAACTTAGCACGAAATTTTCCTAACGACAAGCAAGGAAAGCAACGAATGAATAAACTTTGGGAAGAGCTAGCACAAAAATTGAAGCAACGGTGTCCTCCTGTTAAAGATGTTAAACTGTGGAGAAAAGTTATTGTATATATATTCATATTCGCAACGTTATTTTTGGCAAGTCTGTTGTTGTAGATTTTTAGGGACCAAAAGTACATTATTAAAAAAAAATTGGGCTGTAATAAGGGATCGAAAGAACAAACTAAAAGCGGACCTTTCGTTGAAATCCCTTTAACCTTCGCAGAAGAGCAAATAATCGAAGCAGCAGGATTGGAGGCCTTCGTGATGAGTGTGGATGATGCGCAGTCATTCGAGTTGGATGAGAAAAGTTGTTCAACCACTTCCTCGATAGGTCCGACGTGAGATATAGCGGGCAAAACGCAGGGCGCAACTCTCGACTTTGATAATGCTATTGTAAGCATAAGAAGCCTTTTACAAAAAAATGGATAAATATCTTGCATTAGCTATTAAGAAAAAGGAACTGGAGATTTTAAATAGAAAATGATGTAACTATTCTAATTTGTTAACGTCTTTTTATTTGGCTTCTAATTTTTTCTCCACTTAATTTTAAATTTGTTGTCAACGCTTTAAATGTAAACTTCGCTTGGGTTGTTTCGCTTTGTATCGACCAACGTTCTATGAGGAATTTTGAATTTCGTACATATCTTATGCAAACCATTGCGTTCACAAATTGTATGATTTCTAAGAGGGAAATAACGATTTTTTCCATTGCATAAAAGCTTTCTATCTTTCCTTTAAAATAGCTATTGTCTTCTACACTGTTCTTGTTTGCTGATTGCAAACCAAAGTGGTGGTGTGTGTTTGATAAAGTTTATGCATTTAGTTTGGAAACATGACTGCCCATTTACTCCCAGGAATTTGACATTTTCTAATGAATCACGCACTACGTTTCAAACCCTCCATGCTGAATTGTATCCAGTTTGGATATGTTTCCTCTTCTAGTTGATGAAATATTCTCCGTCTTGCACTCTTACGCAGCCCAATCAAAAAATTTCATTTCCAACCGCATGATAGAAACTATCACTTCATAAATATGCTAAAGGGAAACGTAACTGTGAAGTGTGTATATCTCTACACAGCAATCCAAAAAAAAAAAAAAATAAATAAATAAATAAATAAACAAAAATGTTATCCAAGTTTAATCTCGTGATGAAGCGCGTAAAGAAGAGGATTACGCTCTTGGTTCGTAATCTTTAAACATTCCGTGCAATGTTTAAAAGATTTTTGCCTGCAACTGGTTCTTCATCCAACGAGTCCATGGAAAGTTTAAAGAACTTTCGTATGCTGCTGATTCTTCATCCAAGCCTGTCCGAAGAAAAAGGAAAATGGCAGAATCTCTACCTTTCTGCTAAATGAAATGATAATATTTATTTATATATTCCTAATAAAATAACATGGCGGCACATTTGTAGTTGTAATGTCGCCAATATGAATGTAACGCAGATGTACAATAAATATACATTTTATAGTAAGATGTCATCGTCAGCGAATGGTAGATTGCCTGCATATACTATTAATTATTATTATTATTGTTATTATCTATTAAAGTACGAGATGTATGCAGTAGTTCTCTATAAATGCTTTTTACAAATAATGAAATGAAATTGATAAAAAACTATAGAAAATAAAATTCAATTTTTGGAGGCATTTTTCACCGTTTTCCATGTTTTCAATTTTATTTTCCTCCACTTCATCTACTGCCGCGTTTCCATAGACGACACCTATACAGCTTTCCAGTACACGGCGCGTTCAGCAGCTTATTAGTCTCATATATACTTTTACGTTTCTTAACTTTTTTTGTTTTTATAATTAATTTGCTCAATGATTAATATGCCACAAAATTTAACAATTTCTTTTTATATATTCCTTCACATTATATCCTGTTTGAAAGAAACACATTTTCCCTTTGAAAGTGGATAAACAATAATATTCATGAATTTTTTTTGTTTATTTACCTTATGTATGTCCATATTATGCACTTTTATATTGTATATATATATATATTTTTTTTATTGTAAATAAATTGCTCGTAGGTAAACAATTTTGTAAATGTAATGCATGAACATGCCTTGAATTCAATGCTATTATTATATCATTATATTGCCTAAACTAAATTTTCATATTATATTATATTAGTTTATGTATACTTATATTAATTTATATCATATAAATATTTATATATTTATATTTATATTATATATATATTTATATTGTCTTGAATTTATTGCAAATAATAACTTGTGCAACATTTTCATTGTTATTATTATTATATTGTTATGTTATTGGGGTATTATCATCGTAAAAAAAACCTGCCCGCGGCTATAATTATATAATTATTATTACTGTTACATGTATATATTATTATGAACATGAATATAATTTTAAAGTAAGTTTATAATGGTGCAGGCGTAAAGGGGAGCCATCCATCCAAAACGATTGGCAACACGCCTATCACGGTACCTCAAGATGGTGTGGGAGACCGTTTTCTTTATTTTACTTTTTCTTTATTATCAGCACCAGTAATAACACACCGTTGGGCGTAACACATTATAAAGGTCAACTATTTGTAACTACACGTAGAGTTGGAATACCGTCTTTACTGAATTACATAGCTTGAGAAGGAACTGCAAGAAATCACCAGGTTTCTAAATTTTTATATGCAGCATAATTTAAGATTCATTATGAGATGATTCTACTGAGATCGGTAACGATGCCTTTGTGAGCATTCAGAGCAAGAATCATCGCAACAGCTTTTTACCGAGCTGTTCCAACGCGAAAGAAGCCAACAATTCCTTTATTCTTACTTTACGATGCATTACACCTTACCATACTTACCCGCGGCGGTGGTGATGGGGGACGTTTGCAAAGCGGCAACATTTGTGTTCTTTGTTTTGGATGTACATTACTTACCACTGGCGGTGGCGGCAAATTATGTGCGGTCATGATTGAATGTTTTATATCCACCATCGTTATCATAAAAAAAGACTACAAAGAAAGCAGAAGAAGCAGATTTTCATTCTCGTTAATACTGGATGGGCGTGGGTGACTTTTCCATTTTTTAAAATACAAGTTGAAATTTATATCGTGGATCTTTTGTTGTATGTGAGCAATAAACAAAAAACACGAAAAGCAAAGATGTTATTGCGTAGCCGTGTGTTATAGTCGTGCCTTTCAACTAATTTGGATCATTTTCTACTTCTTCCACAAATTCCCAGCCAATATATTCACTTTCGCTAACCGGAGAATGTTTACCGCAGACACTGTACAGTTAGGCAGATAAATAGATAGATGAACATACTTAAGCCCATGCCGAATTTGAAACTGGCCAAGGATTTAAATATTTTATCGAGCTTTTGAAATTTGCTTCTGCGCGTTATAGGAGTATCAAAAAAAAATTTTTATACACTACAGTTGTAGGCAGCGGGCAGATACTAAGCCATAGAACAAACATATTGTTACGGAGATCCAAAATCCAGTTCATGCCAACTAATTGATTTTCCCAAATAATAAATTCTCTGGAAAGGGAAAACTTAAGTACACATTCGCGGCGCGTCATGCACCTGCCGGCCGAGGAAAACGATTAGATTGGAAAACCAGGTTAACGAATTAAAAATGAAGCCATGAACTTAGGTAATAATAATATGCTTGTAAAAGTGTATATAAATAGACAATTTGCGGAAGGCAGAGTGAGTCGGACAAGAACATTTGAGTCGAAAAAGGATATTATAGCTGTCGAAATTGCAAATAAAAGGAAACTTGCAAAAAGGGAAAACGTGCTAGTGTGTTTCTCTTAAAAAGAATATCCACGATCTAGTGATACGAACTGTATCCGAGAAAAGAATATATTCAAGTTTTTGTAAATTTATCTGCTGTAGTTTAATGAGTGATGACCAAAAAACGATTTTTTGAAAAATAAAGATGTTCTCAGCTTATGCGATAATGCTTGCAAGAGCTTCCACTGTTTCTGCCACATTTGAAGCCGATAGCTTAATTTTTGCGGCTAGGAGAAGATTTACAGCAGACAATACAAAGATGAACAGACGGAGAGATGCTGATGAAAAATATATGTACTATGTGAGCTCTGTGATGCTTTCTTCTGGAGATCGTACACGTTTTTGCAAAATGAATGCACCCTTCATTCTTCGGTGATGGATACAAAAAACTTTGATTGTCATAATTCGAAACTTCACAACAACCGAAAGTTCAAAATCGTCATTGTTTGCAGCGTTTCGGGAAATCCTCTAAAATTTTAGAATCCTCGTACAGCTAGGAATGAGAGGGCGAGTAAATGGAATATTTTCCCAGATAAAAAAAAATTGTATCTGGTGCAGTGTGAGTTCAAGTTTTTTCACGCAAAAGTATGAAATTTGTAGGCTTGCTTAGTTGTGGTGTGTGTCATCACAACGCCTAGGATCGTTTTAGATGGAGTTAGATACAATTTTTCCGATTTACAGCATTTTCAATTTGCATGTCGGAATTTCGCTAAGAATGTATCAAAGCATAGAAGGAAGAGGAGGGAAACTACTAATTTCTACCACGGTATACCAAAAGATTAATTACTTTTTTGGAGAAGTAAGTGAAGTAAAATTACAGCAAAAGCTTTACGGATGGTATACGCATCTAGTCATGCAATCATTTTAAAACCTCTAAAATTTGATTTGAAAAGTTGCTTATGCAATATAGAAATAATGCTGCTCAAAATGTTTGACCTTCGAATTAAAAAATAATTGTACTCTAAAGTTGTTAACGATTGTTTTATTGTACCGTACACCAGTTGTGACACAGGGATATATTAAGTTTATACCGACGGTTGTAGCGTCCAGAAAGCCTTGAGATGGGCCCACTTTTTATCATAACGATCGTTTCGTAATGGCTTTTTGAGTCGATATAACCTTGTCCGCACGGCCGTCCGCCTTGGTTTCTTGTGCTCAAACTACAACTCGCATTTTTGAAGTATTTTGAAGGGATTTGGTACACTGATGTGTTTTGATTCAAGGACGAACGCTATTGAAAATCCTTTGGGTCGGTGATCTTTTGATCACTTGCCATGCAAAACTTTTTTTGAAAAGTGGGCATGCACAGCCTTATTTTTAAAATTTGTTATACGGAAAAACATTAAAATTTGCATTTTAAAGTTTTCGACAAAACTTGAAGAGTATTGCGACGTTCTAAACTGGTATGAAAAACTTGGTTCGGCTGAAACAATTTGAATTGAACCCCCTCTCATGTAATAGTTCCTATGAAAACTGAATCTGTACTTAGTAAAAAGGTATAATTTTCAATATTTGATGGTACAAATTGGGTGCAATTGTGACTTTGCATGAAAATAAAGTGTACTTTTTGGTGTATTATTCCCATTACAAGTGAATAACAATACTAGAGGGATACGACTATACTATATACAACTAAACTACAACTGTAAGTTATTACCGTTGAAGAGAGAGAGGTGAACGTCGTTTCTATTTGATTTTTGCTGTAAAAATTTCGTAGCTCCTTTAACAATTTCCACTAACTTTATTTCAGGATGTAATGTATGGTGTTAGTGATCAAAAGGGCTTTCATTGTCTGCACGACAAACACAAAAATATAATCATTACATGGCTGAACTCAGAACACATACTACTGTACTTCCGCGATGCTCCCAAAAGGTTTAATTTCTGGGTTTATCACGTTCAAATTACCAAAGAGTTCGCCGATGCGTGTGTGACATGTCGAGCTTTCGTTTCGTTAGCTCTGTACTGAATTTGCAAGCAAAATAGAATATCACAACATCAGCTTCACTTAAGTCTGGCATATGTGGTTGACCGTGAATCCAATCAACAATTTTTCGAACATGGTCACGTTTGATATGAGGAAAGCGTGTATATTATTCAACAAGGTCGAAAGATATACCTAACCTAATGTAAAATGATTTTTAGCAAAACTTTATACTAAATTCACCAAATTCGCCAAAGCGCTAACTCAAGACTCACTGAGTTATGTTGAAAATGAAAGCTCTTTATCGAAAAGCGAACTAGAAATTTTTGTACTATTTCTGATGGATGGAAATAACTCAAATAACTCTCTCCCCAAAAAAGCTAACTGATCTGGCGATTTGAGCGTACTACCTACTTTAGATTTTCAATCAGTAGTGCTTTTTCGATTCGCTTCTATTTGTTACGTACATCTGTTCCGAAAAACAAAAAATTGATAAATAAATGAATAAAGGAAATAAGTCCTCATTGCTTAACTCTTCTTTATTTAAAGGTGAATATTTTTTATGCATATATAACCATTGCACAAAAGTGCACCTAATCCAACTTTTCCTCACTTCCTGGATCGATCTGACCTCGTATGTCCGTTTGTCCATGCTGTTTTCTTGTGCTGAATCGCTATTGAAAATGGTTCGAATGAGCGCATTTTTTAGACCACTTACCCATATAACGCCTTCTATTGAAAAGGTCCTTCGTGTTGGGTGTTTAATGTTATACTGTTTTTGCTTGTTCGTTATATTTCTTATTTACCTGATCGAGCCACTCACTCACTTTCGAAACGCAGCTGTGTGCACACATCATTCAGAAACCCCTAGTCGTAAATATGAAGGATGAAATGGGGAAAATGGGGACGAACTTTAACAATACGAACAATGGCATTGAGTAAAGATTATGTTTGGTCACCTAAATGTTAATTCGCAGCGTCCTTCTTGATATTTAGATTCTTTTAGTCCATATACAAATCGCTAACATTCATGCGTATATTTTTTTCGATGTCTGTGAAAGGTTAACACAATTGAATTCAGGGTATTCTCCGGAAACCAACACTTCTACAAAGTTTTATGACTAAATTTAACAAATTTTTTTTTTGGCTAAGCCAAGGAATGCGGCTTACAGGTCCACTCAAAAAAATCCGGCGAATATCTTAAAGGTAAAAATTTTTGTTTTTTCCGACTGCCATCGTAGAATGGCTTGAAGAGCACAGCACAATCAAAGTGTAGAATGCTAATAAAGAAGCAGGCATTTCTGCTTCTGGAGAATGGAATATGGAGTTCGTAGAGCCTAACAATGAAAAGCAAGGTGTAAGTCAAACCAAGCGAACGTTAATAAACCTCAAAAGGCCATTTGGAAAACGCAAGGAAAGGACTTAACTCTAACGAAATTAAAAGTAAAGCAGAGAGCAGTTTGGCACATGCAGAAACCAATGAAGAATATAATTTTTCGAGTTCCTTTAAAGAAGCGCAGGTTATTTCAACAGAAATCACGGATATAATCAGTTCGTTTTGCTACATTGATACCGGGCAAAACTATTTATCCACTGTCATTGCGTTAAGTAATGAAATAAAGCATAGGTGACAGTTCACTTACTAATTTAACATTCATCAATCATTACAGGTGCACAGGTTTCATGACAATATGCAGCTACCTTGTTAAAATTTCGCATACCCACCCATCTTTGACGATCCATTCTTTCATTTATTGTTGTAAGAAAACAAATGCGATCAAACCTCACTAAAAGCTATTGTTAAGAAAATTTAAGCTACCACGTTGTAACGTCCATCATCAATAATTTAGAATTAACACATTTCCCCTGGTGCATTCTACTCTACAAGTCCTTTTATGTCATACCCATATCGCTGCTGTTATTAAGACACACCAGGTCGTCGTGTCCACCATATTTATCTTAGAATTAATGTATCTTTAGATAGATAATATATCTTGATTTGAGGAATATGCAAAAGAGTTTTAAGAATTCTGTCTTGTTATCCCAGCGATTATAATAATAAGCATAACACATGAAAAAGTAAAAAAGACAACAATTTAATTACTAGCAATATTCTGTCGGCTTAGCCGATTTTCTCCATTTTTCCATATAAATACTAGGGGTTTTCGCAAAGTAAATGTGGAAAATTTCACGGTTTTATCTTTTATAATTTGTGAGTAATCGGCAAAATGCACAAATTTTTATTCAAAAAATTGGAGTCGCGTTCAATT